TGGTCGGAGGGCGTGGTGGTTACGGCGTTCATTTTTTCATTCTTTTTTGCCAGAGCGCCAAGTGGCTGGGTAGTAAACAACGAAGTACCGGCTGCCTTGGGTGAACGCGGGGGGGGGGGGGGAAGAGGGGAAAGAAAGGGGGAGAGGAGGAAAAGAAGAAGAGAGAGGGAGGAGGGGAGGAAGAAAGGAGGAGAAGGAGGAGAGTGAAATAAGGGAGGAAGGGAAGGAGAGAGAGAGGGAGAGAGGGAGGGAGAAGAAAAAAGTGAAAGAGAGAGAAGAAGAGAGGAGAGAAGAAATAGGGATGGAGTGGGAGGAAGAGAGAGGGAGAAGGAGTGAAAAGAGGGACGGGAGAGGAAGGAAAAGAGAGAAAAGAAAAAGTGAAAAAAAAGGGAAGGAGAGAGGAGGAAGAAAAGAGAGGAGACAGGAGAAGAAAGAAGAGGAGGGAGTGGAGGAAGAGAGAGGAAGAAGACGGAGTGAAAGAGGGAGGGGGAGGGAAGGAGAGAGAGAGGAGATAGGAGAAGAAAGAGTGAAAGAGGGGGAACTGGAGGGATTGAGAGAGGATAAGGGAGAGAAAAGAGAGGGAGTGGAGGAAAAGAGGGAAGAAAGGGGAGGAGGAGGGGAGCAGTGGTGGCAGGGAAGAGAGAGGGAGAAGGAGTAAAAGAGGGGAAGTGAGGGGAAGGAGAGAGAGAGGAGAGGGATAGGGGAGAAGAAAGAGTGAAAAAGGAGGAAGAGGGAAGGGAGAGAGAGAGAGGAAAGAAGAAAGGGAGATGAAATAGACGAAAGGGTGATCGAGGAGAGGGGAGGGAGGGATGGGGGAAGACGAAAGAGTGAAGAGGGGAAGTGGAGGGAAGGAGAGAGAGGAGAGAGAGAGGAAATAGGGAGAAGAAGAGGGAGGGAATGGGGGAAATGAAAATGAAGAAGAAAGGCAGTGAAAAAGAGGGGAGAGGGAGGGAGGATAGGGAGAAGAAAGAAGTAAACGAGGGAGTGGAGGGAGGGGAGATTAAGAAGAAGGGAGAGAAGACGGAGATGGAGAGAGATAGAGAGAGGGAGGAAGGAGAGAGAGAGAAGAAAGAGTGAAAGAGGGAGAGAGAGAGAATGGAGAAGAGATGCAGGCAGACAGATGTACAAGAGATAGAAAGAGAGAAAACGTAAATATATATATATCTATATATACATATATATATATATATATATATATATACATATATATATATATATTACTATATATATACATATATATATACATATATATATATGTATATATATATATATATATATATGTATATATATTAATATATTTAATATATAGTATATTATTGTATATATATTATATATATACTATATAACTATAATTATAATATTAATATATATATATATATATATATAACAGAGACAAACAGAACAAACAAAACAAAACACACACAAAAAACGCACGAAAATCACGCCCCTTAAAAAATAAAAGATAAAAAAATATAAAATAAAATAAAACAATAAAATAAATAAAAATAAATAAATAATAATAGATAAAAAAAAAATCTTTTCAGCCCCTATTCTTCTCCCTCTGCCGACGAAAGCAGCCCCGCCGATCGCCCGCCGAGGAAAAGGGCGTGGCTGCGGGAGGTAGATGCTCGTCCCCAAGGTCGCGGGAGAGCTGCCGAGGGCGTGGGCGCGGACCCGGTAGTGGCTGCTCGGCGGTGTGGGAGGGGGGCGAGGGGGAGGAAGGAGGGGATGGTGAAGGAAAGGGGGGAAGGAGGGGTGGGGAGGGAGGAAGGTGGGAGAGGGAGGAGGGTGGTAGGAAGGAAAAGGGGGGGAGGAGGGGGGTGGTGGGAAGGAAAAGGGAGGGGGTGGGAGGGGATGGAGGAAGAAAAGGGGGGGAGGGGGGATGGAGGAAGGAAAGGGGGGAGAGGTGGAGGACAATAGGCAAGGAGAGGGGAAGGAGGGCGTGGTGGGGAAGGAGGGGGAGGGGAGGAGGTGCTGGGAGGAGAGGAGAGGAGAGGAGGTAATGGGGAAGGAGGGAGGAGGAGGGGGAGGAGTAATGGGAAAGGAGGGAGGAGGCGGAGGGTGATGGGAAAGAGGGGTAGCTGGGGGTGGTGGGGTAGGAGGGGAGGGGGGGAAAGAGGAAGCGGGAGGAGGTAATGGGGAAGGGAGGGGGGAGAGGGGAGGGGCACAAAGGACAGCTCTTTACTTTTCCCTGCTCTGATTCTTTCTTCTTCTTTTTCTTCTTTTTCTTCGTCATCTTATGATCATATTACTATTATCAATTATTATTTCATCATTTTTTTTACCTTATTGTTATTCATTTCGTTGCTATATTATTGTTGTTATACTGTTATCATGTTATTAATTCATTCATCATGATCCTTTCTAGTATTAATGGTAGTACTACCATTATATCATTACTATTATTGTTGTTGTGTTGTTATCACTATGATTATCATTTCATCATTATTATTTATCATATTATTCATTTATTGTTATCATCATCATTACTATCATTATTATTATCAATATCATTTTTGTTACCATCATAATTATCATTATTATTCAAATATATTGTCATCATAATTATCAGTATTATTATCAGTATTATCAGCATCGTCATCATTGTTGTTATCATTTCTATCATTATCATCGTTATCATTGTTATCATTACACCGTTATTTTTGCTATCATTACCTTTGTCAGCCTTTTCATTTACAAGTTATAATTATCTCTAACGAACACATATATTTGTGGTGTTATTCTATCTTAAATCATAATGATTATGGCATAATTGTGTTTTTACTCTCTCGTTTATTGAGCTGTGGTGTATACCTAATGTTCCGTGTATGTGTACGTGTGTGTGTATTCTTTTGTGTTTCGTATTGTTTTATTGTGTGTCTTGTGTGCGTGTGTGTGTTTTTGTGTGTGCGTGTGTGTGTGTGTGATTTGGGTCATTCGTGCGTGCGAGTATGTGTATGATACCGTGAATATAAATGATAAAATGCGTGCCTGCATTGGCCTCTTTGAAATCATGTATTACACATCTAACTACACAAAAACAACATTATACACCTATACAATACAGCCTCCTTTCCCTCACGCCTCCACACGCCCACACGCCCTAGAAAGTCACCCGCAAGACCCGGTTCCTCCGTGTAGGATGCATCTGAGGGCGTCCAGGTCACTTACACTGTCCTGCCGTATTTAGGATTCTCACCCTGGGTCTCTCACTCCGGCATTCGTTCCGTAGGATTCTCTCTCGTGGATTTTTTTTTTTTGTTTACACTAGGATTCCTACTCTAGGATTCGCACTGTAGGATTCTCACCTGGGACTCTCACTCCGGTATTCGTTCTGTAGGATCTCTTGTGGATTTCTTTTTTTTTTTTTTACACTAGCATTCCNTGATAAGAGAGAGAGAAGAGATTGAGGAGAAGAGAGAGAAGGAGAGAGACGAGAGAGACAGAAGAGGAGAGAGAAGAGAGAGAGGTGGGGGGCGCGGGAGGGGGGGCGAGGGATGGGAGGGAGGGAGGGAGAGGGGGGAGGGAGAGAGAGCAGAGAGAGAGATGGATCGATAGAGAGACGTGAGACGAGAATGGAAGGACGAGAGAGGAGAGAGAGAGAGAGGAGAGAGAGAAAGAGAGATGAGTGTGAAGATGAGAAGAGAGACGATGAGACGAGAGAGGAAGAGATGAGAGAGAGTAGAGAGGACGATGGAGGAGGGAGATAGAGAGACAGGGGGTAGACAGCGAAGGGCGCGTGGCGCGATACCAGGCATATGAATCGGACGAGGAGAGGAGAAGAGGACGGATGCTCGAGTGCTTCATCCCTAGGGAGGGAGAGGCGATAGGGAGGGGGAGATGAGAGAAAAGAGGAGGAGATGAGAGAGAGATGAGAGAGAGGAGAGTGAGAGAGAGAGAAGGAGAGAGAGAGAGCTGAGAGAGAGGAGAGAGAGAGAGAGAGAGAGAGAGAGAGAGAGAGAGAGGAGGGGGGAAAGGAAAGAGAGAAAGAGAAAAGAAAAGAGAGAAAAGAAAAAGAAGAAGAAGCATATTACACATGATAAATAAAACAACCGGATATAACGAAAAGCAACAACAACAATAACAACAACAACAAAAATAGACACGCCAATACGTAACAGCTGATGACTACTCTTACTTATTTCATCATTTGGTGTGAATGAGAGTAACGATCATTGTAAAGGCAGATTTCAAAAACAGATTCGCCAGATTTCTTTTGATGATATAATTAGGTTGTAATGAAGAAGAGATGAGGAATGAAATCATCAATGGAGTTTTTTTATTGTACTTTCTCTTCTTTTTACTTTTTTGTCGATACTTCATCTATCATATTTACGTTCTTTGTCTTTTCTATCTTCTTGGCCTTATTCTCTCTACTTATTATCATTGTTATTATCATTATCATTATCATTATCAATATTATTACCACTATTATTATTATCATTATCATTTTTATTATCATTGTTACTATTATTTTCATTATTATTACCATTATCATTATTATTATTGTCATCATTATCATTTTTCTTTCCTTCTTTCTCCATCTCCTCCTCATATTCTTTCCCTTCCGACCCGACGTGTGACCCCAACATACTAATGCCAGTACCCAATCACACCCGACCTGAGTGAGAGAGGCTGGTCGGGCTCGAACCCAGGACCCTCCTCACAAACACAGAGAACTAACAACAAAATGCACATAATGAATCAAAAGAAGAAGAAGGAGAAGAAGAAGAAGAAGAAGAAAGAAAGAAAGAAGAAGAAGAAGAAAGAAGAAGAAGAAGAAGGAGAAGAAAGAAGAAGAAGAGAAGAAAAAAAGAAGAAGAAGAAGAAGAAGAAAAAAAAGAAAAGAAAGAAGAAAAAAAAATAAGAAGAAGAAGAAGAAAGAAAGAAAAAAAAAAAACTATAACACAACTCAGGGACTCTGTACTATAAACGCGACAATCTTGAAAGAAGAATCATAACGACACAACCTTGACCTCATTTCTCTCCTTCTCGCAGGTCAAGATCTGGTTCCAGAATCACCGCTACAAGATGAAGAGAGCAGCCAAGGAGAAGGCCATGTCCGAGCAGACTACCTCTTCTAACCAGGTGAGTGTCTTGGGGTTAGTCGGGGTTGTGTGTGTGTTGTGTGTGTTTGTACGTGTTGTGTGTGTGTGTTTATGTGTTTGTTTGTGTGTGTGTGTGTTTGTGTGCGAGTTGTGTGTGTGTGTGTGTGTGTTGTGTGTGTGTGTGTGTGTGTGTTTGTGTGTGTGTATGTGTGTGTGTGTGCGTGTGTGTGTTTTGCTATCATAATTCCTGTAGGATATCTCTTATTAGTTAATATATCACAATTACAATGGAAACGTACTACTCTTTCGATTATCCCGTTTATTGCAAATCTATAATTCAGCAAAAGCTTTATCTTCATCCTCTTCTTAGTGACAAATTATCTTTCAATATTTATCTTTGAATTTTCATCGTTTATTTAGCAAACGTTCTGGCTAAATAAACGTTTTTTTTCTCTCCCTCATCGCCTCGCACTAACGCCTTTCGCCTCCCGTGTCCCCAGAGCGCGTCCCCCAGGAGGATCTCGGTGCCGGTGCTGGTGAAGGAGGAGAACGCCACGAAGGGCTCGTCCTCGACCTCCTCCTCGGCAGCGGGCGGCGAGGGCAAGCTGGGCCACCACCGCGACACCTCCTCCTCCACGTCGTCCTCCAGCCTGGCGGCCTCCAACACCTCGAGCCTCCTGCCGAGCCACCTCACGTGCGACCCGGCCTCCGCCCTCGACCCCTTCCGCAGCCAGGGCTCCGCCACGCCCGTCAGCGCCTCCGCTTTCCCCTCCATGACGCCGCTCCACCACAACGCCAACAACGCCTACCTCCACCACCAGCGCGCGTGGTAAGAGGGGGAGAGAGTAGACAGCGAGAGAGAGAGAGACGGACGAACGGGCGGAGGAAGCCACGGACGGAGAGACGAGGGCGTGGGGACTGGGGAGAGAGCTTCGTGGGCGTTCCGGCAGGATCCTCACCCCCGTCGCACGGAACGGGGCTTCCCTCAGGGGCAGGGGCGGGCCGCGCACCTCGCCAGGGGAACACGCCAACCGGGCAAGGCGGCCGACGGGGTTCAGCGTGGAGGACGCGTGCCATTAAACAAGGGCGGTGTAATAGTCCTATATCATTTGTAGTGGCAGGGTAATGACCCCGTTTATCGAAATGGGACGCAGCTAATTCATGCTCTTAGGGAACAGAGGCAATAACAGGCCGACAACTCGATAAAAAGTATCAGATCAATTGACACTTAACGGGGTAGGTCATCCTGCACGCCAGACTCGGACACAAAAGCGAGAGGAGTTCAGCCAAGCTTTCCGACCTCCTTTCGCCTCGACTCAGCCATGTAAAAGGGACAGAAGAAAAACCTCACTTGGCAACTAATCCACCGACCTTCAGCAGAGCGCCTGTGACTTCGAATAGCGATAACCAGAGAGAAATTTCCTCAAACTGATAAAATGAGGAATAATAAGGAAACTTTAAGATAACTACGCTTACAACATGGCATGAGGCAAGCAGACCACATACAGGAGACGAAGGTTTGCCAGATGCGTGAGTTCAGAACACAGGATTGAATTCCCATTACGAACTCTTTGCTTTTACTCTTGTTTATATAAAGGTTCAGATTTTTTTCTTTCTTTTTTCAATTCTTTTTGATGAGTGACGGCTGAAGGGAGCTCTGTTTTACTCCTTCTCTATGTCTTGGTCTCCTTTGGTCTCTTCTCTCCCTCCCGTCTTCTTCGTTTACTCTGTCCTACTGTCCTACTGCATTTTCCTATATTCCTGTCTGTTTTCCTTCTCTTTTTTCGTTCTTTCTTTCTCTCTGTTTCTAATTGTTTGTCTGTTTCTGTGTCTCTCTCTCTGTCTCTCTCTCTCTCTCTATCTTCTCTCTCTCTCTCTCTCTCTCTCTCTCTCTCCTTCTCTCTCTCTCTCTCTCTCTCTCTCTCTCTCTCTCTCTCTCTCTCTCTCTCTCTCTCTCTCTCTCTCTCTCTCTCCCTCCCTCTCTCTCCCTCTCCCCTCCCCTCCCCCTCTCTCTCTCTCTTGTCCTCCTCCTCCTCTTCTCTTCTTCTCTTCTTCTTCTTATTATTATTATTATTATTATTATTATATATAATATATATATATATATATATATATATATATATGTATGTATGTATGTATGTTTGTATGTATATATATATACAAAATATATACAAAGTCAGTCTCTCTCTCTCCCTCTAATTCTCTCCTCTCTCTAATTCTTTCACTTTTGCCTCACTCCCTTTCATTCCGCCCCCCCCGTCCCCCCCTCCCGGGATCTCTTCACTTGGAGGAAACACCTGGTCGCTTAAACCTAAAAAATACAGGCCAAAGAACACGAAAGAGAGGGCAAAAATAAAGAAAAAAAACGCTGATAAAGAAAAAAAGGGAATAACAAACACATATAAGCGACCAACAAGAAAGATTTTATTTTGAGATTAAAAAGTAAAATGGAGACTTTTTTTTTTGCTTTTTTTTCTTATTTTTGGCGAAAGAGATCCCGTCCAAATTGCACATCATCGTGATCGCACAAACTCCTGGAAATAAAGGAAGGGGGAGAAAGAGAAATAAAACTAGTCATTGGTATTCTGGACCGACACCTCGACACCCCCCCCCCCCCACACCCAACCCCCACGACCGAACGAGAAAAAAGAGGGGGAGGGGTCGGAGGGGGGGGAGATCACACCGAGACCCCCCACCCCCCCACGACATAACGAGAAAAAAAAGGGTAAAGGGGCGGGGAGGGAGGGAGGGAGGGGGGAGGGTGTGGAGATCGCACCGAGCCAGACGCCGAGACAGGGCAACGTGCAACAAAGGCCTCGGGTATTTGCCATAATGCGGAGAAGCGTTTGTGAACCGGTGACTCCCCCCCCCCCCCCCCCCCCCCCCCCCCGAGAGATTTTTGTGACCGACCGGCCGAGGGAGACCCGAGTGTCAGGACGACGTGACTCGCTTCCCGATAATCCCTCGTTATGCATTCATACCACAACTGTACAGGAGGGCACGAGTGATAACAGTGACTTGGCTGGATACTCAAGGGTGTTTATTTTTCTTGGTTTGGCCTTTGAAAGTGCACGGAGATGTTTCAGGGAGGAGGTGAGGAGAACGAGGAGAAGGAGGGGAGGAAGAGAAGGTGGAGAAGGAGGGGAGGAGGAGAGGAAGAAAGGGAGGAAGAGGAAGATGGAAGAAGAAGACGAGGAGGAGGAGAAGAAGGGTAAGATGGTTCGTCCCGACTCGTAGCCGATGCGAGGCAGACTGTCCAGGACGCTTCTCCTTGAACGGCCATCCGAAAACAAGACGGGCGCTGAACGGCCGCCGACGGATGCCCGCCGTCTGCCCCGACCGGAAGCAGCCGCCCCGCCGGCCTCTCCCGCAGGATCGGCACCGCTCCGAGTCGCCGCCGCGGGAAGGGCCCGGCCGGCGCCCCGGTGACTCCTGCATTGTTGATCTGTTCGAATCCCTCTCTTGATCTGGAAATCTTGAGCATGACCGCCGCCACTCCAGCGAGGGCGGCGCGCGAGGAGGGCGCGGGACCCGCCAAGGCCGTCGGGACCAATTTTCCTCGGCGTTTTCCTCTTCGTTAGCCGAGACCGCAGTGCCGGATGGCTCTCCAGCTGCCTGATAAGAGCCGTAAGCTGGAATTTTTTCCCCATGTGGCGGTAGTGGCCGCTGGGGGAGGGAGGGGGCCCAGTGGGAGCGCCGGTGGTGGTGGTGGTGGTGGTTCTGGCGCTGTCACGGCTATGTTGTTTTTCCATGGAGCGCCCAGCGGGCTCCTCGAGGGCCCTTCAGCTCGAGGGCGCGCGTCCCGATCCCTCCGCTCTGGCCACAGCTTCGGATTGGTGACGACCCGCCCTCGCTCGTGCTCGAACCTGATCGTCGGAGAAAGAGAGTTCTGCCTCTGATCGTGAATAAGCCCATTCGCGTTCGTTTTCCCTTTTCCCTTTAAACGAGCGAAAAGTGCAAAATATAAACGGGTTACACATCGTCCGAGTCCAAGACCGCCGTTTGAAGCCGAGTCTGAAGCCACCGACCGCAGAATGGGACGACACATACCATTTGGTTCGTCCAGCCGTATTGATCGGCAAAGCTGGACTTCATAGAACCACATCCTGGAATGTGGGAGATACAGACAGGAAAAAAAATATATGAAAATGGTGTTTCTCCCTCCTTCGCATCAAACGTAAAAATTCACATCCTCGGTCCCTTTTCGTTTAGGGCATCACGAAGACTCGGTCGTCCTCGCCAGCGCACGCCCCCGCCGCGCTCCGCCCCGCCTACCCGCGCGCCCTGCCCTTCCCCTGGCCCCCTCCTCCTCCTCCCATACCATACCCCCCAATCCCCCATCGCCGATACCATACCCCTCCATTCCCCCCTTGGCGATACCATACCCTCATACCCCCCCCCCTTTTCCCCTTCCTCTCTCCACGCCACCTGGACGCCATTACATATCACATGAATACGCGAGAGAGAGAGAGAGGAGGAAGAGGAAGAAGAGGAAGAGACAAAGAAAGGAAATCAAGACAAGAAATAAGCGACACGATGCGAAAATACGAAAGAGAAGAGTGAGAAGGAGAAAACGAGGGAAAGACGAAGGGGAGAGGAAGAGGAGGAGAGAGTCAGAAGAAGCGGGGACAGCAGCCTTCCCCCCCCCCTCCCCTCTTCCCCCCCACCCCACCCCCCTCCCCTACTACCGCACCTCCACCTTTAAGAGAAAGACGCCCTCATCAAGTCCCCGTTTGATTAATTAGTGTAAATACGAAACGGCGGTTGATTAGCGAGGTTGACTTACAAGCTCCACTCAATCAGCATGAAACCCCCGGACGCAACTTGAACTCGTCGCCAATAAACCGTAAAGTCCCCGGGTTTGAGGCCGGGGTGGTGGGGGGGGTGGGGGGAAGCGAAAGCAAGGAAGGTCCCCCTGTGTGTATATCCGACACGCGTTCCTCCCCCCCGTGCAAAAGGGCCTTCAGATGTGCAATTAGTTTCCTCACAAGACGGAGCCCGAAAAAAGGGAGGGAGGGGAAAGGGGGGGGAGGGAGTTAGGAAAGCAAATCGGAATATCATTACCTTGCTCTTTCCTTCTGAACTGCGACTTATCCGTATTTATTGATCTTCTTTTCTCATTTCTCTATTTTCTATATACTTATTGATTATCAGTGACTCAAGGAAGGTTGACGGTGTCCCGGTATAGGCCTCGATTTTTTTTTTTTTTTTTTTTTTTTTAATGGAAAAAAGAGAGAGAGAAAAATGTGAGGCACTTTTCTACTACCCTGCCACACACGCCGCCCGTGCAGCCCGAAAGCCCAGTGCCCCATGAACCCACGACAGCCCACGCCCCCAGCAGGAAGGTACTGACTACGTGTGTACATAGTGTAAATTGTTCTCAAGAATGTGTAGTATGTAAGGTCTAAGACGCCGCTTTACTTCGACCATGATTGTCATTTTGTGTCCAGGCTTTGTCGATAATAAAATAATAATCTATTAATTAACTTATTACGTGTTGTTGACGTCACAGCCAATTGTATCGAGAGGGTGATGAGTGTCCAGTGTTTAAATAACCTTAAAAAAACAACCTTTTCCCCTGTGGTAGAAACTCTTGTATGGTAGAAGAAACTTTGTCCAGTTATTTCCATCCTTCTTTTGTTCGTTTCGTGCGCATCCTGGAGACACGCGGAGGAGGAGGAACTTGCTGTTTGTGTCTTTTGGAGGACGAGCCACGTGTACCCATCCTCCCTCGAAGGGCGACCTCGTGAGTGTGAGGGGTCGCGCTCGGATTCGCTTGTTGCTGTTGTCGAGGACGATGTTCCCGGCGCGGCCCCTGGAAGCAGCCTCTTCTTGGGCCTGAGCGAGAGGAAAGTCCGCTCTGAATGGAACGCGGTGTCGAAAAAAAAGAAAAAGAACGAGTTTGCCGTGTGCATAAAACGGAAAATCAGATAAAGCATATGTGTGTGAGAATAACAAAAAAAGAACAAAAGAGAAACCATAGTGCGCAGAGATAGAAAACCCTGGAAAACGACCGAACTAGCTGTTGAAAACCTTAGAAAACGACCGAACTAGCTGTTGAAAACCCTGGAAAACGACCGAACTAGCAACAGCGGCAGTTCCCCGCAGCCACAACGACAACGAGCCAAGGCCGACGTACTTACTTGGGACTTCCAGTTCGTGCCTCCCAGACAAATCGCAAAACAAAAATAAAAAGCGGAAAATATACAAGGCGGAGGAGAGATCGCCGTCCTCTTCGCCATCGCCATTATTGAGACACAGGTTCTCCTCGTTCTTTTCTGTGGAAGGAGAGAAGAGGAAAGAAAAGATGAAAAATTTACTCGAAATACGGTCTCTCTCTCTCTGTGTTTCTAGAGTCTTTTGTAGTTGGGCTTTTCATGCAATAGGTTCTCTGGCTTTCTGTCTCTTTCTGACCTCATGCTAGATGCAGATTCGATGAGGTAATAAACAAATGAAAAGAGGAAGAGAGAGAGAGAAAGAGAGAGAGAGCAAAATAAAAGGCGAAAGCTACTAGAAGCAAGAAATGTGAAGTAAGAAGATACATATATATATATATATATATATATATATATATATATATATACACATATATATATATACATATATATATACATGTATATATTTATGTATGCATGTATACATATGAGTGAAGGATGGAGAAGGAGAAAATGAATAAAAAGAGGAGGTGAGAGAATGGAAGAAGGGACATTTCCTCCTGACTCGGTGCTGGTGCGGTTTTGTTGAAGGCAAAACCTGTATCCA